AAAAAAAAAGAGAAAAATAATATCAAAATTAAATTTTATTGAAATAAGATTTGTGTAATATAGTAAAGTTTATGAGTAGGGCAGCGCATGGTCTGGGCTTATGCGCCACATTGGATGGCAGAAAACAAATAGCATTGGCCTGTGTTCATGCATCTTTCTCCACCAATGGCCTTCCATGAATTTGCGCACACAACACATGTATCTAAATTATTATTATTATTATTATTATTATTATTATTATTATTATTATTATGTACACCTTTTTCCAAGCCAAATAAAGTTAGCTTTCCTATCTTTCTTCAGGGGAAATTTTATTGGAAGACCTAACTTTTAGTATATGTATTAATTTAAGACTTGAATTTTATACTTTTTCAATAGAAGGCTTACAATTACATTTTAGATTATTCTCACTTTAAGGCTTACTTTTTAGTTAACTTTTCATTATAAGGTCCAACTAACTTTACTTTTTCATATAAATATGTAAAACAACTATTATGTGAATAAAAATATTATTATTATTATTATTATCTTTTGTAATTTATATTTTACATACTTATAATAAAAAAATAATAAATATCTTTAGTAAAATTATATTAATAAAAAATGAAACTATATAAATTACAATGATGTGAAACTATATAAATTATCGTTATACAAAAAGTATAACAATAAAAAAATTACATTATTGAAAATAGATGTTTATATAGTTTCATTTTTTATTAATATAATTTTACTATCTTAGTTTCCCATCATTGTAATTCCAGTGTTTTATCATTGTAATTTATTTAGTTTTATTTTTTATTAATATAATTTACTAAAGATATTTATTATTTTTTATTATGAGTATGTAGAATATAAATAATAATAATAATAATAATAATAATAGTAATAATAATATTAATAATAATAAAACTTTTATTCACATAGTAATTGTTTTACATATTTATATGAAAAAGTAAAGTTAGTTGGGCTTATAACGAAAAGTTAACTAAAAAGTAAGCCTTAAAGTGAGAATAACTTAAAATGTAAGCCTTCAGTTGAAAAAGTATAAAATTCAGGCCTTATATTAATACATATACTAAAAGTGAGGTCTTCCAATAGAATTTTCCCCTTCTAGACCTATGCGCTATATTCGACCTCCTCCTTAATCCTCCCAGCTCTATCGGCCATTTAACCACTTTTCTTATTCTTTCATTTGTTCGTTTAGGTCAAACTGACCTTGGTTTTTTCTTTTATTCTTTTGTTGCCAAATGCCAAAAGGGAGAACTCTACCTCCAGAGCTGGGATAGAGCCCACTTTCTGTCTGATATCGCTTCCAATGTTCCCAAATGGAAGAGGAAATTTGTTTTAATTTGACCCGGTACCTCTTTTCCATGGGACTTGACCCCCTAGCTCGAGGTCTTTCTCTTTGAGACCAAAAACCGGCCTCACAATCCTAAATGGTCGGTTAACCGAACCAAACCGAAAACCGATCTTTATATGTAAATTTTAAAGGCCATATATTACGCAAGTCCATGTTCATACTTTTTAGGCCCATTATATTATAAGGTGTTGACCTTGAAATAAATGAGAAAATTACACCTACTACAACTCCTTTATCAAATATTATTAAAAGTACGAAACTTGTAACTTAAATTGAAAGTTACGAAGTTTGGTTAATTAAGACTTTTGATTTTCTCTCTCCAGATAATTATTTATTTAACTCCTCTTCTCAGCCGCCACCATCAACAGATTCAAGAAGCCCTACCCTAATCACCAACACCATGTGAAGCCTAAATCTCAGCAGCAAATCTCCATTAATTTTAACCAAGCTTCAGAGCAAGTCGGCCCAAATTTCTTCTCAAGCCTGCCTCCCATCAAGTCTTTCCACCGTCTCTATCGGCTTTCTGGCACTAGTTAGACGGCGAGGAGGGCAACACCGCCGGCGTCTGAAAGCCGCCAACCCAGCGACCAGACACGAGAAGGCTGAGTTGTCTACGACATAGACGAGAGCCGACGACCTGATAGAGAAGGAGTTGAGAGCAGGGGTACGCGGCTGAGTAATTTACGAGCACCAGGCCACTCGTGGCGAGGTGATTTCTGTGGGCTGCGGAGAGCAACAGCTCCGGCTGAGGGCGATAACAAGGTTGGCGACCGGAGATCCATCAGTTGTTGGCGAGTCGAGCAGTTCTACAGACAGACGAGAGAGAAAAGTACATATGTCTACAATATTGGTAAAGTAGCTATATGTTGTTTATCTAATGTATAACTAAATTCGATTTAGATTTTGCAGTCATTCAGAAGCGTGTATTATATTTTATACCGTTTCAATGTTGTTTATATGTTGTTTATATTATGTATAACTATACAGTTAATATTGGAGAAATGTCAGATCATGTTTATCTATGTATATATACCAGTGTTGTTTATTTGTTGTTTATCTTATGTATAACTATACGGTTAATATTAGAGAAATGTCAGATCATGTTTATCTGATGTATATATACTGTATATCTAAACATATATTTCGTTATTACGAGACAATATATACAATACATATGAATTTTTTTAACAAAAAAGATTTCACGGAGAACAACGCTGCACATTTAATATTAAGAGAGAGAAACTTCATACCAATTAATAGCGGAAGTTTTTTAGCCTTTAATATGAAGAGAGAGAAACTTAATACCATGTGCATGAATTGTGGTTTCGTATATATAAAAAAAGATCTCCTCAAAATCTAATGTTGATGAAAATTATTAAAAACGTATATATGTAAATATTTTACTATAGGGTCTTCATATATGTAAATTTCCCGAAATAAATAGAGGCACAAGATAGATAGGCTTGGGCCAATTATTATATACAGGCCCATTCCTATCTCCTCATCTGCTCGTCATCATCTCCGATCGCCTGCACACACTCCACTCGGCACTCGACGACGCTAGGCTTCTCAAATAAGATTGCCACCCAAATCCTCTCCTACCGGCTGCACGCGATTGAACCAATTCAAGCTCTCAAGGATGAAATCAGTTTCTCTTTTTTACCTCTTGATTATTATTATTATTATTCTTTTTTTTGGTTAAATTATATAGGTTAATAATTTATTTGAAATCGTGTGATACTGTGATGTATTCCGTTGAAATTTTTATGTAAAAGAAAATTCGTAGCTGCAATAGTTGGCTTTTTCTCTGTTCCTTCTGCGATTTTCCTGGGATTTGCAGAAATTATAACTTATGAATTTTTTTTATTTTTTTTCATTTTATCCGATAATCGATAATCAAACCGATCTAACCGATAGATTTTCGGTTAAAAAACCATACCGAACCATAAAATTCGGTTCCGTTTTCAGTTTGATGGTTGGGAAAACCGAAAATTCGATCGGTTTGGTTCGGTTTGAACGGTTGAACAGCCATAATAATATAATGATTTATTGAGTTTGTATTATGTATGCCGTTATTAGTGATGCATTATTGAGTTTGTATTATGTATGCCGTTATTAGTGATGCATTATTGAGTTTATATTATGTATGCCGTTATTAGGACCATTGGATTTGGGATTTAGGAGTATGTACCTTCTGACCATGAACCTTCTCTCTTTTCTCAAAATTGCTCTTCTGAAGATTTCCGTTTTAAGATGGCCATTTGAAGTTATGAATCAATCGCATTGCTGATTCGCTCGAAAATGTCTGATTGGTGATTACGGAACTCTTAATCCCATACGAGTGAGAGAAGAATTAGGTTTAAGAATGGAAGAACGATGTTCCGTGAACAGCCCTCGAAGAATACTGAGCTTCTCCAAGAATCGGAGGGCCAGCGTGTCTTTTCCCGACGCCGATGGCCGCCCGGGATTCGGAGTCTCCGGCGAGCATGGCCCCAAGCCCTCCGAGGTCTATGGCTTTGTCGGCTCCATCACAACCGTTGTCTCCACAGGTTAGTTTTTTTTATCGTTGTTTCTTTATATACCTTGATCAGATGCTAACCCGTGCAGTTACATTTATGTGATCTTCTTGCATAATTTTCACCACTGTTCTCCCAATTTCCGTCTTGGATGCGTTCTTCTCTGAAATTTGGGAAATGATGATTTAATTCATGTCAAGTGTTTGGGATGATTGATTTCATGTGCTTCTATTCTAAGAAGTAGAGATAGTGAACATAATTTTAGTTCAATCCAAATATTTGATTAGCTTATCAATAGATGATCTTGATTGGTTGATCAATTATTAAAGAAAGGTTTTGAATTGTACTTTAATTGAGGAAAAGAAGGGTTATTTCATTAGCACATAGAAGGTGAGCATCCTATCTGCAGCCTGCCTTATATTCAATGAACAGACTGAGCTTAGTCTTTTTTAATCGTTTTTAATTAAATTTTTTTATAGCAGATTCAAGCATGAAGATAAAAGTGTTAACCTAAACTTGGCCTCTCTTTTTTCTCATCTGGCAGTTGTTTTTCTTGTATGGGCATATGTTCCGGGTATTTGGTTGCATTCTGTAGGGATCTATTACTACCCAAGCAGGTCAGTTGTAATACTCTTTGCCCCTATTATTATTATTGAGAGAGAGTGCCAACGAACTCGTCGTTATCAGCTAGTTTTAAGCTTATTTCAAAACAAGTTTTATTCCTGTAATGGATCTTTGTTACTTTTTTCAACATTTTGATTCGGGAAGGTTTAAGATAGAACATGGCAAATATTGGATTTTCAGAATTCAATATTACCTGTATGTATCATACTACGAAACCTCATGACATGAATCGTCTGATGTTAACTAGTCTATACGTATGCGTACTGTTGCTTTTATTGCCCCTTCAGTAATGCAGTCTTATTGGTGCCATTTTTTTATTTAATTTTTTTTTTTTTCAGGTATTGGGCTTTAGCTGTGCCTTGCTATGTAATGGTAACAATTGTATTGGCTATTGTGTTTTATATTGGCTTGAACTTCATGGCTACTCCTCCTTCCACCTCCTTGAATGTGATGTTTGGTAAAAATTTTTTTTTTTTTTAGAAATTACTTGAAATCATACGACCTATGAAAATATATTCATAGTTTTGAACTCTTGTTGTATCTGTGCAGATGAATTCAGTAGGGAGCCGGTGAGTGAAACCCCTTCAGGTGACGATGACGAACGGCCCATTGAGCCTATATCCGACATTGGAATCAACCAAATTAATGATTTAATGTTTAAAAATTTAAGATGATGTCCTTTCACCGGTAGATATATTCCTTAATAACGCCGCACATCTTTAGGGCGAATACAGTGAGTCTTTCTTGTAGTGCAAATTTCATATGTAGCTGGAGTCGGTATTTCTTTTACCTGACAAGTGTAGACGGGAATCCATATGGGAGATCGATTGTTCGATTTGGATCTATACATATTAGTAAATCCTTTACAAGTGGAAGGGGCTATCAATATTTTTGTGGAGAATAATGTTCCATGTTTTTCTTCATGTAGCTTTGAGAAAAAAAACAGCTCATTTCCAGCTTAACAGGACATGCCTTTTGTCCTAAAGCTACTTTGTTTCAAGTGCTGACAAAAAATAAGACTGCATATCAAGTTTCCATTTTGGTAACAGCCTCTGATAAATCAACCAAGATTATGCAACCTCCAATAAACAACACTCCCACCGTTGATTAAGATTTGCAAATGGTAGTGAAACCACAATTCTTGCTACTTCACAGCATTTTCTCAATGTTGCAGAGTGTTTTTCAATGGCAGAACTAACAATACATTAATTACATTTGAGATGCAAAACTATTAAAATGGGGAAAAAGAAGAAAAGAAAAGAAAGAACGAGCAAAATATATAAAGGAGCTCACAGCAAATGAGTGCAAATGTATGCCTCGTTCGAAAGCCCCTCACATGTTCCTCCAGATACCCTCATCTCAAAAGTCTTGGCCCATCATGGATTTTACCTTAACCAAGCCAAGTCAGAAAACCGAGTCATATCGAGTCTCGTACAGATCAGCAGGCCCTATCTCATCATCAGCTATTTACGACAACTGTTTTGAGTAACTTCTTGGCACAGTGGTGAAATTTCCACAGGAGAATCTGATCATTTGGGATCTTCAAGGACTTTGCTTTCAGATATTTTTAGCTTTGCAGATTGAGTAATTAGTAGCTCGCGCACTCTATTCTTCAACTGCATTCCACATATATAGCAGGTAAAATGAGAATTTCTATAAATGGGTTTACCGTAAACAGCTTATTCCATCTGATGAAACGACAGAAGGATGCATATATATACAGTAGTATCATTAGACTTGTAACTTTCATAAATGCAAGAATATGTGATCAAATAATTAATCACATTTTTCATTCGTAAGTAACTTGTGTATATGTACTTAACAAAATTAGACAGTCTAAAACCAGCATTATCAATCCTTTTGGCTGTTATCAGTTGGGGCATTTTTATTTTTTGTAAAGGAAGATAAATTCATTGACCCTAACATAATAAACAGTGCAATATTCCCTTCTAAAATGATCTCATGATCGACCCAAATACGCACCTCACGAATACCCAATTCATCCTTGATAGATACACGTATTGCCCCTTCAGGTCCCACCGTACGATACTTTGCCAGCTCAACATTATCAGCTGTACTATCTTCTGTGACGAAGACTACTGGGGAATCATTTAGCAGATCACATTTAGACACTACATCAAGCCATAGATGGTCGCCAAACCTTGCTTTTACTTCGTTGTAAATGATGAACTGTTCAATCCAATAAAAGAATGAATATATTATTAGCATGAAGGGAATGAAACCAGAAAACAAGCTTACGACATTGAAGTCATAACAAGTATTAGCACAAGGAACTTGGGTAATTCATGGTCTTGAAGTAAAAGAGTTTCAGTAGGGAACATGCACCACAATATTGAGTTTTATTTAATTTCCTTCTTTATCCCAAATATTTCAAAAAGAAAAGCAGACTCAAGATTATACATATTCAAGTATTTTATTTTGATTAATAAAGAAGCTGTACAATTCCTTGCTCAAACAGATGAATTACCTGATCAGAAGGGGAGGTCCCACATTGTCCAGAGAGGTCATGGACATAGAGAACAGCAGTTGGCAAATGGGAGAGGACGGCAAGCGTCAACTTTTCCAAATTATTCCTTTTCTCTACAAGATTTTAAAAATAAATGAAAGGTATACTCAACCATAGAACAAAATGAGTGCACATAGATAATTACTGTCATTTATCCCCACTCAGATACTCAAGTGCTACATGCATGTCCACTCCGGGAAATGGAAAGTTCTATGTACTTGAGTATTTAGTTCACTAAAATACAAAGGTGGAATAGCAATAGGAAGTAACTCACCATCGTGTCTTCTTAGTAGACCAGGTGTATCTGTCACCTGAAGACAAATGCTGTAGCTTTAAGATATTAACAGTGGAGAGACATCAACATCAAAATAAATCTCCCAAAAAATATGAACCTGGAAATTCTGGTAGCTCAATGTCATGTGACCCATCAGAATTCCTCTTGTTGTGAAAGGATAATTACAAATCTGAGACATCATTAGAGCAGCAGAATCAGTGCAATTTGCTGGCTTTTATCCATCAGTTTTCAGTGCTTTCGAAAAACAGAGCAGCATATGGTTGTCAAGTAAACATGAGAAAATTTTATAGCAAAAGGCATCATAATATATAGGCAACACAGACGTAGTTTTCAGCCATATAATTTGATGCAACTATACTGGAAACAAGTTTTAAGGTGAGCATAAAAAACTATTCAACAAATATAAAAAATGAGTCCTGGAGTTTCTTTATTTACCTCAAACGCAATTCCTCAAATGAAGACATTAGATTCTTCTCCTTTTGTTCCATTTCATTTTCCATTTTCTTAACATTTTTTTCTACTATCAACAATTTCGGGTGCGATTGGAAAAGAAAAATAAATTAAATTTCCTCAGACAGAGAGGGCAGGCCAGATATCTGTGCACTCGCATAATTATGAAATCATTTTCAGGCAAAAATCATAATATTTTGCTCATTTTCATCTTGTACCAACTATTTACTTTGACGTATATGTGAACTAACATTCAGATTAATTAAAG